CGCCCCTGCCCGCCCTGCCTCGGTGCCAGGCTTCCGAGGCGACTCCTCCGGCGCCCAGCGGCCCGCGGCCCGCAGCCCGCTCCGCCAACCCCAGACCCTGGCTGCCAAAGGGATGGAGACCGTGTGGGAGACGCACGTCGCCAACCCGGCGCTGAGACGCAGCTGCCCGGCTTTTGCCACTGCCAGGCAAGTGCTCCAGGTGGAGGCCCGTGAGGCGCAATGACCAAGCCTCCCAGCGCTGCCAAACCTGCCGGCTTCGCTTTCCCAGCCCGGGCACCACACCTCCCGGCAGAAGGTGAAGCCTGCCTGCCCTCAGCCAGGCCCGGCGCCTGGGGTAGAATGGATTCTCACTTTTTTTTTAATGCCCAATTCTTTTCACTCCATTATTTTTAAAAAAAACCTCCTGGACGCAGAGATTCCCGGGGCAACTCCTCGCCTTTCCGAAAACACGTCTCCCCTCCCACAACACGCTGTTAAAGCGGCGCCTTTGGCCCCGAAATAATTCAACCAGATCTCAGGAAAGGTAACATCCTCCTCCCACCCCCGAGTTAGGCTCCATCTTTCTCCCTCCCCACTTGGGAAGGCTTGGAAGCCCTGGAGAAGGGGAAGTTTGCCGACACGTGGAAGCTGCTAGCCAAGAAACCCTAGGAGCACCAGAACAATAGCATTTTACAATTCATTTACAAGTTCAGGATTTCCAGTGGCAGGTTTTGAAAAGGCTAAAGGCGGCTGCTTTGAGAAGGGGTGGGAAGGAGCAGGCAGAGGCTGGCCATGCGGAGGCATCGGCTGCTGAGTTTCAGATCTGTGCATCACTTTTAACGCTCTGCTGGTTCCGGTTCTGGAAATCAAATCCAAATGGAGAAGTTAAAAAGCATCAGAGAAAAGGTTGCAGACTCCGCTTTTGGAGAGTTTGAGAACAGTGTGTGGCCACACAGCGGTCCTGCGGCCGCCTGGCTGAGGTCCCACGGCCGCGCTACCGGCGTCGCGTGGGCCGGCCGCGGGCGGAGGACAAGTCCGCGCGGATCTGGTCCTGGGCATTCCCGGAAACCATCCGGAAGCCAGCACAAGCAAGTGCGCTCCGCGAGGACTTCTTCCCGACGAGCTGCCTCCAGACTTCTCCGCGGCAGGCGAGCCTTGGGGGCCAACACGCTGACTCTTCCTGCGCGGGAGCGGCGGAGTCCGCGCAGCTGGAGGAATGCCACGCAGGAGGGCGCGCGCCGGGAAAAGGCCCGTCGCACCCCACGTTCGGGCGCGCTCAGCGCCGCGCTCCGTGCCGGGAGAGCGCAGGAGGAGGAAGCGGGCCGCGGGCTGCCGCTCCCCCCTCTCTGCGGCCGCGCCGGCGGGAACCCACGCGGCCGCCGCGCCGCAGCTGCCGCCACCCGGGCCCGGCTGCGCCCTCCAAGTGCAAGGAGCGCTCCACGTGGCGCCGCGCGCTCCCGCCGCGTCCAGACCCTGCCGAGGCCGGGGTCTGCCCGAGAGCGAGGGGCGGCGCAGCCTGGAAGCAAAACTCGAATTTCTTAAGGAGGGAGACATACTCACGAAAGACGCGCAGCGGACGCGGCCTCGGCAGAGGGGGCTGCGCGCTCGGGGCTCTTCGGGGGGAGCCCACGGCGGAGGCTCCAACGTGGAGGGAATTTTTAAAACCTCAACACTTGGATTCGACAGTGCAGACGATTTATTTCTTCGCTCTTTTTTTTTTTTCTCTGCAGCCCGGCCCCTGATGGGAAGGGATCGCGGCTGCCTGACTGCCAAAGTGCGACAGCCCGGGGAGAACGTGGGCCCAATTAGGTCTCAGCCCTGGAGCGAAGGGGACCACAAACCCCCGGTCTGCTAATCCGCCGGTGCCGGGCTCAGAGCTCCGAAACGTCCCTGGAGTATTTCTAGGACCCTTACCGCTCCCCTTATATACGCTGTGACCCCAGCGAGGATTTTTTTTTTCTTTAAAGAAAAACTAAACTATGCAGTTACCGCAGGAGATTTAAGGAGGAGGAAGGGGGGGCGGGTAATTCCGTCTATAAAAAGCGCCTTACAAAGTCCTGAAGTCTGGAGATGACAGCGGAGGATATGAAATAAAGTTTTAAAACTCCGATCCAACTTGCCCACGGTTCAAGCCTCTCCTGAAATTCATGTTCTGCCTGGGAGTGGGAGAGAACTGACGAAACGATCTTTCCGTGGAAAATTCCTCTTTCGTGCAATCCCTGCTTGAACACACTCAAACACACACGCACACACACGCGCGCTCTCTCTCCCTCTCTCAATCCCTCTGTCTCTCTCTCTCTCTCTCTCTCACACACACACACACACACACACACACACACACA